TTTTATATAATAAATTTTATTTTTAATTAATATATTAAATAATATTATAAACTGAATATAAAAAAAAATTTATTGAATGTATTATATTTCATTCACTATATAAATACCTTAATTTATTTAACAAGAATATTATAAATATTTTATCAATATATATTAAAATATAAGATGTAATATTAATATATATTTACATAATATTTATAATATATATTAGAGTAAAATATACCGATCACCCTTCTATTTTATCTCAATTATAGAAACCTCTCCTCTGTTTTAAAAACATATATAAACTTTCCTTACAATTAAAATGTATGTTACACAAACCTCCTTCCTATATTTAATGTTTAGTTTCCATCCACCCAAACCGTTAATTGATCGTTAAGTTTGACTTTAAATTATTTTTTGAACAAAATACCCCTTTTTAACTTAATAATTAATTAGACATTTATATTTTTCAAAAAAACATTTTTTATAAAATCAAAAATAATTATAATGCATATAGTTTTAAAATTTATAATATGTTATAAAATTTATTAGTTTTGATCTAAATCATAAAATTTTATAATTTTAATTTTTATTTATCATGTTCATTAGAGTTTTTCGTTTGATGTCTTTTAAATTGTAAACACATATTTCAAATACATAGTTTTTTGTTGTTGTGGAGTTTAAATAATATAAGTTTAAAAGATTTTATAAATTATTTAAATTTATGAGTCAAAATTTTTTAAACACATCTTTATTACAAAAATTTATAAACATGTTTAGTCAAAGTATATATATATTCATTAACAAAATTATTTAAATTTTAGTTAAGTCTTTTATATTTGTCTTAAATGAATGAAATTTATATAACGGTAAAAATATAATTTAGAAATTTATTAGAATGAAGGGTAAAATAGTATGTAAAATTTATTTTAATATAAATTTCATTTAAAATAATTTTTTTTAGAATATTCCTAACAGTGTTAACTTATTGAATTAAACTATATAATTTAAAATTAAAAAGAGATATGTGTAATTGATGCAAACTGGAAGGGTAGTCACAGTATTTTACTCTATATATTAATATTAACATGTACGTTAACATATCTATAATTTAACATATTATACAATAATACTTATATATATAATTTTGCAATTAAAAAAAAAAAAAGAGATTTCATCACAGTTCACATGACAAGAGGCTTAACACAATAACAAGGAGGTTGGGGGTTCAAATCTGAGCAAGTGCATTTAGGAGATAAAAATAGTAAGGGCTGACATGGTGCGACACGGCAGGGATGATGATGTGGCGACATGTGTCGAGTGGCGGGGGTGATGATGATGTGGTGACATATGGCAGGTGGGGGAGAGGTGTAACATCTTAACTTTAACCTCTTTTTATATCAAATAGAAATAAATGGAACCATTTATTAAGCTTTTAAGTTGGTAAGTTTCTTCAAAAACTTTTTCTCTTAGGTTACTATTCACATAACCCTAAAATTTGACCAATTTGAAAAGTTATAACTAATTTTAAAAAATCAACATGAAGTAGTTTTAAGTTTTATTTAAAGCTTTCAAAGAGATCTTTAAGGAAAAAATAATTCCAGGTTATGGTTCTTCCTCATAAATACCCAGTTTTCACGCAAAAATGCATTGTTCATTTGGTCTTTTTTTGAAACTTTTTTAGAATTTATGTCTAAATTTGAAAAGGCGCAACTTTTTGCACAAATCTCCAAATTTAATGAATACCACTCATTTTAAAGCTAAAAATAAGATTTATTAGAATGTTAAGTTTTAGATTCTACCTCATTCAATTGCTCAAAATATCGTAGGTCAAAGTTTAGGCATAAATTGGTCAAACTTCAACCATTCAACACCAATTCTTGCACCATAGCATTTTATCATCTCAAAACCATTATCTAACATACTAATTAACTTAAAATCATACTTTAAACAAATTGTATAGTACGTAATTGTCAAGAAGTCAACCATCTATAATTACATATTATACAAAACAAGGTTTCAAAATACTACACATATCCAAGGTCTTCAAATTTATGCCATCTCCTTGCTTTTTTCCTTGGAGCTTCCATCTCCTAATGATTATAATTCAAATATAATGAGGTGAGATTTTAAAGAATCCTAGTAACAAAGAACATCAATTAAAGTATTAAAACAAGGTAAATTCATGTTATATGCAAGCATTAACCAAACCATAAACATGCCATTAATATACCATGAAAAGGGAGCATAAATCATACCATTCAACAACTCAACTAAACACATTTACCAAAGCATCAATGCAGGGGTTAACCACATTTTTACATACATAACTCAACCACATCATGGCACATACACATAACACAAACAACCAAAATAATTTAACACTAAAATTGAAAGTTCTTGCTACCTCTTGCTAGCTTTGATTCTTGGTTTCTTTATCTTGCTCTTGAACTCCCTTTTGCTCAATACCAAAGCATAACAATCAAGCAACACAATGGCATTGTAATTAACTTCAACAATTTTCATTAGCACTTTAACCTAAAACCCTAACCCTTTAACCTTTATTTAGGATTTTAGCATCATCCTTTAATTTAACTTCCACATGCTTTTCCTACATAATTTTTCATTTAGAATCCAAATATGGATTTAGATTTATCAAAATCTAATTCCTCCTACCATTTCTCCACTTGGTCAAATAGGGTATTTAGGGTTGAAAATTTTCATTTTCAATCTTAATGCTTTCAAACACAATACTCTTCATATATTCCTACACAATTTTACCTTCTAAACTCATTGGAAACAACAAATAAACAAAAATCAAATCCTTGCACCAAATACCTTAGTTGGCCGAAAATACTCCCTTGGTTCCACAAGTTAGAATTCTTTCCAAAACAAAGTTTAAACACCATAATTCAAGCATTTTCTACCTTATAAACAATGAACAATATTCAAATCATCCATAGCTCAACACACACCAAATTGGACGCACCAAATCCTAACTATTTCATGCTTCAAACTCCATCAAAACTACATTTTAAACCATCAAACTACTAGGCAACTTAAACTAGAAGAGAAATCCAAACTTTTACCTTGATTTGGCACTTGATTTAGCATAAGTTTGGTTTGATCTTCTTCTCCTATTCTTCCTCCCTTGATGGTCCGAATTCCTCTCCTCCCCTTCTCTCTTGGTTGGCCAAAAAAATGGCCCTTGAAAGGAGGTGTTTCCTATTTATAGAAACACCAAATTTCACCTCTTAGTAACTCTCTTATTTACCATGTAGTTTTACCACTAACACATGGCAAGATCTTGGTCCATCTTCCTCCATGATTTAGCTACATAATCCCTCTTATGTATCCCTTAATTAAATGCAAGAGGCCACCTCATAAGGACACCTAATCTAACACATGCAAGAATTGCCATTTTTTAAAGTCAATAATTCATTCTTCCAAGTTTACCCTTTAACAATTTATATTATTCCACTTAAGTCCTTCCCCCCTCTCTATTTGGTGCTAATTTCATTAGAAAATTAGGAAGAAACTTTGTCTCATAAGTTTGTACTCATTACACTATATAATCTTTCGTTGTCGATTGAATTTTTCTTGGATCTTGTTAAATCCACTACTTTCAAAACTTTATTTCTTTGTGCTAATAGCTTCCTTTTGATGAGGAGAGATTCTCTAAATTTTCTCAGAATTTATTTCAACCTCTAACTTTATAAATTAAAATTTTCCTGAAATCGGCCTTCTATTGATAAAAATTAAACTTTAAATATTTTTAAAGTTATCCTCTGCACATCTTGAGGCCGAAAATAATTTTGAAATTCATAATAATTCTCCAAGGAATTTTCTAAATTTTTAATAAATTATTGAGGGCCCTAAATATTTTAAATAATTCAATTTGGCTAATTTTTTCTTAATTAGCTAAAATTCCAAGAAAATACTGAAAATTTCAAAGTAAATTATTTTTATTCTATTTTTATCCTTCAGGCCTCAACTACTGTTTCCTTCCCTTCATTTTATTTTTCATGATTTTTTGAGAATTTTTGGGGATTCTAGGTATAACTTCCTACTCTGATTAACATTGACCAGATATTTTGAAAATAATAATCCGATCCTAGATTTGATCTCAGTTCAAAAGTTATTCCATCTAAGTTTTCACTACACTACTTGGCCCTTGATCAATTCTAATTTCCTCATTTTCTTAATTAAAATTAACAGGGTATGACAAGAGGTGATAACGTGGTGCGACATGTGGCAAGTGAGGGGCAGGCGGGTGACGTGGCATGTGGGTGGATGGCGTGGCACGATGTGGCAGGTAGGTGATGATGTGTTTTTTTTTTTTCATTTTTGGCACATGACTTTTGTGCCCACTGAAAGTATCATTCAACAGTGACCCTATATGTTGCCACTTAAAGTGACATTTAGCAGTGATATAAGGGGTCGCCGCTAAAGGCACCCTCTAGCGGTGACATTTGATCGCTGCCTTTTAGTATCAGTGATAATTACTAAGGCAACTTTGTCACTGTTGAAAATCGAAAGTTAAATTTTTTGTAGTGTATCACTGTGCTTGTTTCTCTCTCTGTCTCTTGATTCATTTGTTTTATTCTCAACTAACTGATCAGACGAGTTGCTAATCATCTAATACTTCTGTTCTTAGATATATATATATATATATATATATATATATATATAAGATTTAACTTGTAGTGCAAATTACTCTATAAACTAGCTCTTATATTTTTAAGACTGGAGGTAGTATTAATAACGCTGTTTATTTAGCTAGTATTATACTTACAAACTTTCGCTTTAGTACACATAGAATCCTATCTGCCTTCGCTATATCAGTGAATAAATTAAAACTGTGACGTTCCAAGGAATGAAAACAATAGGGGCACCAAATAAAATACCGCAAGCTATGGCACAATATATTCTTTTAATACAACAACCATACATGGGTTAAAGTTCTAGGACCCTGCCACGGTGCTCATCATACATATATGCAGAATAGTCCTGCACAAATAGGAGAATTACTCCATCAAAACTTGATGATCACTACACATCAAAGGTACCGTACGGTCGTGCACAAACCCAAGTCTCTTTAAAGACAAAAGATAACGTTCGTACGTACACAGGATATTTTTTAAGGTTAAAAGACACACACACGCACTTGTACCTATGTTTTCCTACTTGTAAGGAGGATCGGGCACTTGGCCAGACTCAATACGCTTGAGATCTTCTAGAAGGACTTGGTACTGCTTCTTCACATCTTCTGGGGTTTTATTTCCCCCAACAGCCTGAGCAACGTTGTGCCAGCGGTCTGGTGTTTCCTTGTCATAAACAGCAAGAGCCATTTCAAAGGCTTTGTTGTCCTTTTCAGTCCACGAACCAGACGAAGACATTATGTTATTGCTTCTATAAGAGTACAAGAAGAATAATCACTCAAATGATTGATGAACAAATTCTTGTGCAAAAGATGCAGAGAGAAACATGGATATGGCTTCTCATTTATAATAAGCTGCTGGCAGTGGGAGAATATGTATCAAAAAAAGTGTCGATGGGAACATGTAGCTAGATTTCGTTTTAACAGTTATTACATTATACTACCTCTAGTCCTTAATATAAGAGCTAGCTAGAAATTCAATTTAGTTATAAATATAAGATCTCAATTCACTTTGTCTTCAATATTTATTCATTTTGCTTTCAAGTAATTCCTATAGTGATTGCACATGTTAAGGAATTACTATCAAGGATAATTCAAATACACATGATTAATAATTGTATTTTTTAGAAGACAACATCTATCTGTTACAAATAACTAACTTAACTAATTTTTTTAATATTCACAAGTCAGTTATTTAACTCTTATATTAATTATTGAAGGTAGTAATTAAGGTGCCCTCGAGCTTCTAGCATCATCACCCTACTGCAAATTGGCATAAGGAATCTAGCCAAAATGAAGAATTAATATTTACTGATTTGTCTCTTTGGCAACCACAGATTAAAGTTGGACCACGAAGAAGAATAACAAGATAAATAAGAATCCGTATCTTCGCCATTTTTTTCTATATGAGGATAATAAGTAGATACCTAAAGATTTTTTTCCACCTTACAGTAATTATCGAAAGAGAAGTCATGTCAATTTATAAATTAGCTTTAGAATCTTCATTGTGTCCAACCTTACCGTGTGAATCCAATGCTGGATGTGTCCACAGGAGAAAACGACCTATATAAAGGATATGGAACTTTCTTTAGTTATGAAGAATGATTCATTCCATGATCTGTTTTTAATCTGTATTTGTCGTGTTGGGATTTGATTAAGCTCTTGAGTGGCCACTAGTTGTATATATGTGTGAACTATCGAAGATATTTATTTTAATACACAATGTAAAAAAAATTATTAAATATATTGAATCCCCCAAATAAAATTAACTACCTCTCTTTCAAAATATTTATCATTTTTAAGGCTATAATCACAATTCAAAAACTCTACTACTTTCGGTCCTTACTATAAGACCCAATTGACTAATTTAAAAATATTAAAAAGTTAAATAAATTACTTAATCGTAACATATATTACATGATCTCTCTAAAATGTTCCTCCGGTTCTTAAAGTAAGATCTATTTAACTAATTTGATTAGATTAAAAAGTTAGGTAAGTTAGTTAATTATAAAAAATATAATATGTTTTTCCTAAAACACCATAATCATCTTTCTTAATATCATCCCCCTTCTCCTACTTAATCATGGTTGAGGGAGTATTAATATGAGTAGTTTAGAAAAAATTAAAAATTAATAAATATGAGGATAGGTCCTACATTTAGGATCAAGATCAATTTAACAATTAGATCCTATATTAAAGATCAGAGGAATACTTATGTGTATCATTATTATATATCAGTTTATATGTCTGACAAATTAATTTGGAAAATAACTATAGATATAAATACTTTAAAATAATTTATTTTGCTTCCTTAATCTTCCTAAATTAGCTAATTAGACTTTGTATTGAGGACGGATGGAGGTAGTATTAGAAAGTCTAAATTACAATTTAAGTCTGATGTTATTCGGCTAGAATTCCTTTAGTGAGGCGAGTGTAGTTGACATGGTTTAACTTACAACTATTATTGAAGGTAATAGAGCATAAAAATAACTAATACTCATTTAAATTCTAAAGTGACAATTATTCAGAAAAGAATCAAAAAAAGTTTATCTGATATCTTGAAACGGAGGATATGCTACTCTGGCCCTTAATATTAGTTACTTTCTAAGAGAATTTTTGGACCCTAAATATTAGTACTCATTTTGCAAAATATCTTAGCATTAATTATTTTCGTTTCATATATGCTCTTAGTTTGTTTTGTAGCTCTGCGATTATGAAGTATTAATTGGGTTGTTCCATTTCATAAGAAGGTAAAGTGTTTAGAAATATGCCCTATATTGGAAATACGATCATGTCCTTCGAATTTTGAAAACTATTAAAATTGTCGACAATTTTAAGGATGTAAATATCTTTTACTACCTCCAGTCCTTAATGTAAGACCCTGTTTGACTTTTATTTTAGTCCTAAATATAAGACCCCAATCCACTTTGTCTCTCATATTTATACTTTTTCTTTCCAAAGTAACCCTTCTAATAATGATAGTTCTAGTCAATACACTTAATTAGTAAGGATATTTTAGGAAAAACAACACCTATTTAGGATAAATAACTAACTCAACTTACTTCTTTAATCTTGTCAAATTAATCAACTGGCTCTTATAATTAGGACCGGAGGTAGTATTTTTTAAAGTTTGTGTGAGACCAAAAGGAGTATTGTATTTGCGAAAACATATTTAACTTCAAGGATCAAACGATTATCATTATTCTATTTGCTTAACTCACTAGAAATCAAACACCTAATAATTTCTATAGTTGGAACAGAAGAGAAGTTCATGAATATGGCCAACCTCATGCTTGC